TTTGAGTTTATGTTCTTGCTTAACATGTGACAAATATAACAATCATTACTTTCATGAAGGAAAATAAACTTAGACCAGCAAAGTTATTTACTGACACCTGCTTGGCTAGTAAGTGGCAGGTTTAGGACTTATGCACAATACATGTCCCAAGTTAGAATATGCTATGGTTTATGTCTGGGTGTCCCCCCAAAGCCTCATGCAGCCATGGGGCAGGCTTTTAAAGTTTGATTGATTAGGGGTGTGAGAGCTGCACCCACCCTGGGGTGGATAGTTTGCACATGTAAGGGAGAGGAAAAGAGTGTTTGAGGTGATTCCTCCCCCATTCCTCGCTGGTGTGTGGTTGTTGCTTTAGCTGTGTTCTGCTGCCCTGAGCTGTAGCTCTCTGCCATGTGCCAGCCTGCCTTGTAGTCTGCCAAGTATGGACTGAAACCTCCACAAACTGTAAGCGAAATAAACCTTTCTTTCCTTAATTTTGGGCGTCAGGTGTTTTGTCCCAGCAATGAGAGAAAAGTAACCGAGACAGAATACTATAAGTAAATAAAATAATTATTCCTAATGTTAAGACTGTTGGAGAAAATTTCCATTTGTTGTATAATAAAAATTAGAGTGTCATTTCCCATCCAGCACCGTGTATATAATGTCTAAGTTTGAGTGTGGAGTTTAGTTTATGAGGAAGGGAAAGAAATGTGCTATGGACACGGGGCCAGAAAGGGCACTAATGTCTCGAGAAAGAGTCCCACGAGTGTGGTATGGAAACCCTGTTAACCACTTGCCGTGGCACTGCGAGGCAACATAGGACATTTTCTTGCTAAGACCTCATTCAAGGCAGTATTCCTTGAGACTGCTTGTGTGAGCGAGTGACCATTGATGAAAATTCCTCCTGCCCAGCAAAGACCTCACCCTGTCTTTGCTCTCTGCTATATGCAAGGTAATTTTCTCCAGTGTTTGTTTTTTGAGAGGTGGTACAGCATAGGTTTTAAAAGCAGACTGTGAGGCCAGATTGCCTAAGGTTAAATTTATGTCTAATATTTATAAGCTGAGTGACTCAGTCAAGGTATTCTTAAATTCTTTCTTCTTCAGTTTCTTCATTTGCAAAATAAGGACAATAACCATTCTAAAATTAGAGGGTCATTGTACTGATAGAGCTAATGTGCTTATGAAGAGGTTAGCCTGTAGAAAAAGAGAAACATGTTCATTACTAAGGAAGAAATATATATCATTATTTTTTCATTTTTTAATGAAAGTTCATTTATTACTCTGTAATGTTATGGAAACTAGTTTATGTAAATATCATACATAGATCATAGCAAAAGAGGATTACTCGGAAAATTTTTGGTGTTGAAATATGGAGTGACATTATTCCCAAATATTTTGGGGCTACTAAATACAAAAAAAAGTAATCAAACTTACCCTTTTTTTATTAATCAGTAGCAGAAAATGCCAAATAATTTCATAGATATTTGCTGTCCCTCACAAGACAAAATATGTTTCTGAGATCAGTTAGTGTTTCTGTTCTTAAACATGAGTTGTTGTTAAGTTGCTACTGGTAGTCTGTACCAGTTTATTTCTTGTGCTTAAACAAAAGAAAGAGAAAGAGAAGAAAGACAGAGGGAGGAAAGAAGGGGCAGGAAAGGAGGGGGAGTGGGATAGGGCTGAATGCCAGAAATGGGATGAGAGTCCCATGGGGCAGTGTCGGTGAGATCAGGCAGCAAGGTGACGTTGAGCCACTACACTGAGTTATAGGGAATCCCTTTCACTCGCTTCAGTAAAATTTTTGTCTCCTCTCTATCACTGAGTCATTGCAGCCTTTCCCATTATGCTTTCTAAATTATAAATTTATTTTTTTATTTCTAATTGATGGATAGCATCATTTACATTTATGGGTACACATGGTGTGTTCATATATTGTGGAATGCCTAAATAAACATTCATTTCTGCAGATTTGTCGTTGGGCCAGCTCCACACTTTAGGGTTCCATCTGCCCTTCTTGGTGGGAAATGGATCGATTATCATCATAATCACTGTTTATTAAAAAAAATTGGCCTCTGATTTTTTAAAAATGTGTGCAAATATTTCAATCTGTACTCCTTCCCCCTCTGGGTATCTTTCTCTGGAGGCTCTAATTCAGTGATTTAAGACACAATTTGCTGACAAGAAGTCTCCAGAAACCATTATGAAAATGAAGGTAGCAAACAACTTTTGAATGTATTTCCCAATTTAAAAAGCTTTCATTACATATCACATTTCAGGCTTAGAATGTTAAAAATTTATCATAGTTTCAGTAATTGTAGCTTCCTCTGGAAGCTTGGCATGCTATGGAATCTTTTGTGAAGTGTATATTTTGTTTGTCACTCGGTAGGAAGCTTGCCAGGCAATACATTTAATCAAGAATATGGAGAAGAAAATAATTATGGTCAGTCAGAGTGTATTAGCATTACTTACAAGTTCTAAAACTCTTTGTTACTTTCAAGACAGTGGTCTCCTAACAAAGTTTGTGTTTAAAGCTGGAGGTAATTTCCCTTTTATCAGCCCAGCATTTTATGCAGAGGAATATTTTATTTTGAGGGAAAGGTACATTAGCTGGACCCCTCAGATATAACTCTTTGTCTATTGTTTCAGGTACTAAGAGCCTTAGCTGCTCTCCTTAGAAACAACCTTTTTCTGTTGTTTAAGACCTTGAAAATTGATGCATTGCCTTTTGGGAGCTTAGACAGCTTTATTTAAGTTTAACTTTCTCTGGAGATGCATAGAAATAATGAAATGCGATGCCTTTCTGGAACATAATCGTGTACATAACTTCTAGTCTTTCCTGATGTGTAAAGTAAATTTGATAACAGCAGTTCAAATATGGTAATGTTTAATGTTGATTTTATTTAAAAATTACAAAGCAACTTACATCAGCAGATTCAGAGAAGTGTGATGATAAACACTTTTAAGGCCAGCTTTTCACGGCACTGGACACACAGCTCCATATGTGCAGGGAAACTTGCTTATAATGATTTTGAGAGATGTCACAGTAAAAGGATGAGAACAATGGAAGAGGGTGTTTTGGGCACACGGCACAAACATTTTTGGTGCTCAGATTTTCAGGTGTAGAAAATTCTGGTGATTTAATTTGTGAGAACTGTCTCTGTCCCTTATCATTACTTAGTGTGCTTCTTCTTAGTGAAATAGGATTCCCCAAAGAACAAATCTGTCGGGAAATAACGACAAGAGTAGAGTAAGTGATGAACAACCACATTAATTAGGGTAACCATTTTTCTATTTTTTCAAGATAAGAGTGACAGAAAAAAAAAATTTCCTACCATCCTCTTGTCTATTTATATACAACTCCTATCTTTAAAGAGTTGAGGTCGAAGTAAAAAGAACTACATGTGGAGATATATGAATACATTTTCACAGTAATGCACCAAAGTCAGTATCTATTTTCTTTTGCAGAAATGCTGGTTTTGTATCACTATAGTCCATCACTAAAAACATAGATGGGAAGTTGCTCCAAGAATTCAAAAATGGAGTTCTGTTGACTTCCTTATATCTACCCTTAAAATCATGAAAGCAACCCAATCTTTATTTCATGGCCTTGTGAATCAAAGTTTCTTAAAGTTGCAACAGCTTATATTTATGAATGCTTACCTTGCTTAAAGCAATGTCTGGAGAATTTTCAAGAAACAAACTCATGCAATTCTCAGAATATCTGTAAGTGGAAAATACTACTATTATCACTGAAGAGAAGCAGAGGGCAACTTATCTGTCTTGATTTGGATGAGATAGGAAATAGTCTTTCTTGGGAAATTGTACACGACAATGTGATTCCAGATTCATACTCATCTATTGTGACACACTGCGTTTTCCTTGTATTTGATAAAGAAGAAATTGCTTAAGAAAATAGATTTAGGAAGAATAGAGAGGAGAAAATGAGCCATTTAAGGAAGAACACATGAAAGATATTCTTTTCTGCATCACTCATCTGAGGGAACCTTCTGAGGTCAGCATTTTCATTTTTTATCTAAGGCCAGTTCCTCGCTTTCATGATCAAATTAGGGCATTCAAGGACAGAAATGAGGGGTGGGCAAAACAGAATCACAAATGATGTGAAAATGCTATGAAGGCATCCAGGTCACCACTTTGTATTCCAACTGGGGTGCGCTCTTGGCTAGTTCAGGCTGTGCATGTGGGCTGATGACTATGCAGTACCTGATTTTATAACATACATTTCTTCAGAATAAGGATGGGCTATGGAGTAGAGCAGAGAGTATGTTCTGCATTTCTGATGAATTGTCCTCAAGCCCAACTTTGTTTTCATCTGGGACAACAGTTTTACTCATTGCAGCAAAGCTGTCAGGATTTTCTTTTAAAATCATGCTAGAATAAGTGGATTTATTTATTTAGGCTTGGGCTGTCCTCTCTTTGCAGCAAGAATGACCACCACGGGCCGTGGAAGTGTAATATAATATGTGATCCACAGTAAAGTCCCTGGATTTCATATCTCTCAGACTTAGGCTTTCCCAAATTTGATTTCATTATGCGGAGAAGATAATGTGATACAATGCAATTCATGGAAAACTGTAGAAGAAGTAAAAAATAGAAAATGTTTAAGTAGTCATTATGATAAAAGTGTAAATTTGAATATGTATAATGTCCAGAGTATGATTTTTTCCTTTGAGAATCAAGAAAACACTTTTGCATTTAGATATCTAGGTCCACCCAGGTATCTCTGAGCTCAGATATAATAAAAACGTGGAAATAAGAATCAAATGGAATTCATCTCCTCTACAAGATTTACTGAATCTTAATGTAATAGACTTTCATTAGTTTATAAAATTTTTATTTAAGAACATGTACTAATTGAGGCCCACTTAAGAAGGAAGTAAATAAAACTAACTGCTAATGTGGCATGCAAGTCATTTATGTACAAATACAGAACTTTACAAATAAATACACAGATAGATCTATATCAGTTCATAAGTTCTCAAGACTGACATGTGTCCTTTTATTTTCAGGGGCAAAGGCCCACTGAAGCACACCACTGATGTGATCTATGCAGCTAAAATGATATCCGAGTCAGGATCAAGGATGGATGTTCTTGCTCGGCAGATTGCTAACCAGGTGAGATATCTACCAACGTGCATGGTGAAAACCCCTGTGAGCTTACTCCTCGCTTTTCCAACATTGATTAGGGCAAAGCTGAATTTTTCTCTATTTGATATTTTTCCTAAATTATAACTGTATTTTCTTGTATAACATTAGCAATATGCAAGTAGTAGATCATTAATCGTAAGGCAACAAATTATTTTAAGGAAAAAAATTTAGCTTTAAATATAATCAAATTATTTTAAAAATCTTTTCTGTTCAGTGAGTTTACTCATTTATTTTAATTGCCTATAAGCAAACAGATTTTTCCCCTTGACATTTCAAATTACTATTTTCACCCTTCAAAAATAATAACCTTCAATTTCGCCATTGTATTATTTTAACTTTTTCTGTTTCAACAATATATTGGGGAATTCTATGTAAAATTAAAGGACAAATAGCAATTAATCGAATCCTGATATGAAGCATAAAATTCAAGAAGCATATAATCCTTACAGAGACCAGTGTTTTTAAGCATTGATTCCTTTTCATTACTTTTCATATGGCTCTATTTCAATTTTCTAGGTAGCAGCTACATTATTTGAGTTTCTTTATGCTTAACTTTAATTGGGAAATCAGTCCATTCTGTTACTTAATATATTGAGATATTCAATTAAAATTTCAGACTGGGGTATAATATTACTTTGAAATCTTTGTATTGCATCCAACTTTATAATACATGTTAATTTCCCTTTATAAAAACAAAACAGTTTTCTTTTTGACTTTTCAAATATTCCACATTGGTTCTCACTTATATGCTTAGAGGAAAATCTTATTTGAATGCTTCATATTAATAATTACTATTATACACTCTCTTTCTACTCTGTTGGAACATGAAGTACTTTACTAGATAAGACATTTACAAATATAACAAGGGAGAAACAAATAAAAGCTAATGATAGCACAGAAAAACAATTTTTAAAATCCCTTAAATATGAATATTGTGTTAGTATCTTGCTAGTTTAAGTATTATAAAAAATGTTTTTAATCATTTTAAGTAGAGATTAGGCAACCCTAAACAGAAAATAAAAAAACTCAGACATGCACTAAAATCTTTTGGATTTCAGTGAATATTGGAGTTCAGATTTTCAAATTCAGAATGCTTAATCAGTAAATCTATGCAAATCCCCCTCCCCCCAAATTGAAACACTTCCTGTCGCAAGCACTTCAGATTAGGTATGTTGAAGCATTAAAAGTAGAATATCTCCTAATCATTCAAAAATTTCAACTCTTAATAAGTGACTGAAGCACATATATTCTCAGAGTTTTCCTTATTATAGATTTTTTTAATTCACTTTCATAAGAGAGGCTAAGATTTAGTGGAATAAATAAAAAATTACAGCTCATTAGACATATTTGTGTCTACTAAATGGTGTTTAATTACTGCACACTTCCTACAATTGTTCCTCTGATTGCTTTGAAATATAAAACTATGAAAGTTCAAATAACTGTGTCATGTGGAAGGTTTTTCCATCTTTTATTAATATACATCTTTAATTTTTTAGATCATCTTGTAGTAGGTACTTTTGTAACACAGTTTTATTAAATTATGCCATTGTTTTTAGCATTATTCAAATTGTATGGGATAAAGCAAAAGTATTTTCTCACCTCCACATACCTTTGGTATTTTAGGAGAAGCTTAACGAAATAGTCACTGAAAATGAAGAATTATGCACTATTGTCTAGCTATTTGTACCCTGTATGGTAGAGCAATTTCAAATAAATCAAATCTGTTCTGAACACAGTGTTCTGAAGAACCAAAATTGAGAATAAAAATACTGACTCAGTAACTACAGTGACCATCTTTCAGAATTGTCCATGAAAGTATTTCTGATTTTCTTTGACAGATTAATGTACAAATATTAGCTTTAAATAATACTTGAAGTCAGTTGTGAAAATCAATTTGATAATGTGACAAAGGGAATTTTCATTGTCTATGCATATTACAAAATAATTTTCTAGGGGAGTCCAGATTATTAGATTAATTGCTGTCTAGATTTATCAATCTAATTACCTAAAATTTCCAACAATTTTACAATGCTCTCTAGCATGAATTTTTTGCTGGAGAGTCAGAAGACCAATTACCAATTAATTTCCAATTCTATCTAGAATGAATTTAAATTATATAAAGTACCCATTATAGTATAACATAGTTCATACAAACATAATTAGTAAATTTTAGTTTAATTGTATATGATTTTAAAGTTCAGATGTAGAGAGAATGAAATGAATCAGATTAGTTGAGGCTCCTAATTCTGTTCACCTGTCCTTTTTCCTTTGTGACTTGTCCTCCCTACCTTTCTCCTTTGAACATAGATTTATTGTATATACCAGATAAAATTAACGACTCGACAATTTTTTGTATCTAACTAGAAAGAGAACTAAAACCTGTTTATTTTGAAGCTGCCTATGTTGTTATACATTATATACATATTTAATACAAATATATTATTTACAAATTATAAACAAATATATGAGGCTCGAACTAATAATTTCTACATGTATACATGATATTATAATTAAATCATCATACTTAATATATCCACCTCATTAAATATTTTGTTAAAAGTTATATAATAGTAGTTATATATGGGGTACAAGTTCATAGAAATCTTTTGTTTAAACATGCATTGCCCCCAGATAAGCTTATTTTCTGCAATCACCTCAGATCTCTTGGACTTTAGAAAAGTCTTGTGATGCTTTAATTTAAATATGCAATCCAAGGCATTTTTGCTCAAGTCCTGTAGCACTCTGGCATGCATTTGTCTTCAATAGACATAGTGCTCCCGAAGGACAGAATGCTTTTAGCTATCAAAATTTTTAAGCATGTTGTTTAAGAAACAGAAGGGAAAAAAAGGGAAAAAATAAAGAATAAAAGAAGGATGAAGCTGAAGAAGTGGAATATAAATCTAAGATTCCAGGCTCTTTGTACACATTTCTTTCTGTGTCGCCAATGCCCACTGTAATTCACCATTGTAGCAGATATTCTAAGTTTGATGAGTCAACTAAAACCTCTCAGGTAGAAATAATGCACAGAAAGAGTTCAATTAGTTACAGAAACAATATAACCCAATTAGACTGGAGATGAACGGTAGCCAAAACTAAAATTAACATCTGCTAAAATGCTGTGCACAAGATGAGAACAAAATTAGAATTTCTGACTTCTGTATGGTGCGTCTGAAGCCTAATTACACTTACACTGCTACTTTGTCAAAGCAAAGGTATCCAGGCTTTTGACCAGGTACTAACATCTAATCATAATTCAAAATCAATTTTTAGTATGAAGTGTATTGACAGTTAATACTAATTCAAGAGAAGAAATATTTGAAAAACAAAGAAATACAACCCAATCATATACATAACAATCGATGAATAAATCAAAGTATAAGTGCAATTTATATTGATATTTGATATAGTGTTATTTGTGGCTAGCCTAATTTGAACTGCTTCATCATATTATGAATCAAAGTTTTTGTTGAAATAAAGCTATACTGAAAATGAACATCTGGATCTTTTACCATGTCATTATTACATATCTTATAAGGATGCACCTTATGAAAGTGTGTTTATTGAGATCATTATTCATCGGAAGTGTATTTCAAGCACAGATTTTGGTGTACAGATTTGTTCTCTAGATTAATGCACTCCTATTTTATAAAAATAAATGTCTAACAGCATCTCTGATATTAAATACAACTAGATATTAAAATATTTTATCTATTTGCGTCTTTCAAGTAATAGTCAATCTCTTGCTCAATGGGATATTTTTCCCTTTTATGCAATCTGTTGGTTTTCCCTTTAAATAGTACCTTAAATGTTGTGCGGTGATTATATACTAAGGGGAGTTTCATGCAGGCAAAGCTATGACACAGGAAATAAAAGATTTAGGTTTAGATTGTAGGAGAAAGTGTGTTCTTTGGTTTTCAAAGTGAAAACAAATGAGGAAGGTTTCTCCTAACAGCTGGCTACCTGCTTTTAACAAAATTCCAAAATAAATAGAATTTGCCTCAATTATATTTTTTCCACATTCATATTCTAAGTGCAGAGTAACACATTTCTGCAAGTTTGGTTCTACCCAGCAATTCATTAACTGACAAATTTCAGCCATTAGAGAGGTGGTATTTTTAGTTATAATCTATTACTTTTAGACAATTTATTTTTTCTGACAATGTCCCATAGACATAATCATAAAATTTAAAGGACCCTGGGGGTATTTTCCTTTACTTCTGCCACTGGAAAGGAGTTTTGGTGAAGAAAAAAAATCATCATTTTTAATTTGTCTTAGTATCAAGGTATGTGCCACCTTCTTAATGGCTGTAAAACCAAGTTGAAACTAAAATTGATCTTAAAACAGTTCCAAACTCAAGATAACTTCAGTCTAAAGGCATCTGGCAAAACTTAAGGTGTTTGTAAAGTGTTTGACAAAACAACATTTACAGCTCGAGATCCTTCACAAATGATATTTTCTCAAGTGTAGCCATCACAGATCCTCTGATCGATCCTGACCATGTGGGTTTGAGCCTCCATCATGGTTATTACACCGCAGCTTCAGTGTGAGTTTAGTTATACTTCACTAGACATTTTATTCTGTGTTTTGGAAACTCAAATTTGACAAATAGCAGCCTAAATAGATGTAGCAAAATAAACATTGCAAGGTATGCCGAGATTTCTAGGTATAGAATCACCACAAATTAATCCCGATCATGTTTCAGAGATGGGGAACAAAGGAGAAGAAATTCCCCAGAGATGCTTAATAGAAAGGAGCAAACAGGAATGCTGGTTCAGTGTATTACTGGAACAAAACACCTGAGGATGGCTGGCTTGACACTAAGGAGAGGTTTATTGAGTCCATAGATTTGGAGGTTCAGAGTTACAAATCTGGTGAGGGCAGAAACCCGGGACACTGTTTCACATGTCTGTTTTGGTCTTTCATGCTCTGGTAAAGCTACCATATTCAATCACGGGAGCTTCACTCC